GCATGCTACAGGAGGTGCCCAAGTCACCCAGCACTGGAGACAGGCACCTTGGCAGAGCCAGGTGTAGTCCACCAGGGACACTGGAGACGTGGAAGCCAACATGAGACTGTAAATTCCAGAAATGGGAGTGCCAAGAGGAGGAGACTGAGATGCAAAATACATACACATAAGTTTGCACCAGGGTTTCTGGTGATCTCTCCATGAAGAATGTGGGGAGCCCCATTCTAGTTTGTATGTTGTGTTTGCTCACTGTTTTTGATGATAAAGAGTTCTGGTTTGGGGTAGCATTATAAATTGAAATGTAGTTGGGTAGGAGTGTTTTTAATATTTGTGTATTAAAAACAATCAGTTATTTTAGTTTTGTTACACCACAATAGGTGAGCAGTAAATGTCACAGTACTACTGACAGAAAAAACTCCCAAGTTTCACTGCTATTAGAGTGGGCACTTGGAATTTTATTTTCAAAGGAAGCTGAAATCTACTTAAAAGCTGAAGGTCAAATCTACTTAAAAGCCATCTCTCTTATGTCTCTAAACTACCAAAGACAGTTGTAACAGAATGCAATTTTGAATTCTCTTGGTAACTGTACAAGATTCTGAATTTCAAACATTTAATACCTAAATTTAATAACAAACTGTACTTGTGTTGTGAACAAGTCTTAACCTCTTCAGAACAGTTAAGAGACAAATTACGCACCCTAGTGATTTCACATTACGTAAAATCAGTTTAGAAAATGGCAGATAGGCTTAATTCTAGTTTCTTACTCCTCCTCTCCCTGAACAGCTAGTCTAAAGTTGCTGTATAGAGAAGTTTGAGAAAAAGCAGTTTTTATGAATTCTGGAAAACATCTCCAACTTATTTTAAAGACGTTTAATAGCATAACTTGAACAATTCTGCTGCAAATAACCTGTAAAAGCAAAGAACCAGAGAGAACTTTTTCTTGCTTTTCTCAAACTTCAGGACACCTTGCCTCATCAAAAGCAACTGATTCAACAGTTCAGTCAAAACACATCACACTTCCTTTTAAGGTTTTAAAAACAAATTATTTCTATGCTCTAATTGCTTCTCATTGTACCAGTTTGAACATGACATTACATTGGGTTGTCCTCTCGCATGTTTGATTCCTTCATATTCCAAGTAGTTCTCATTAGCACTGTCACTTCCATGGTCTTATTCAACAACCCTTGAAACTCAAGCTGACCTCAACAATTTCAATAAGCAATATAAACTGCATGCCCTTCACAGAGCTGAGGCCTCCAAAAGATCCTGGATTGTTGGAGGAGCTGGTGAAAGCCACAGCAAACCAAACCCTTCTGGCATATCCATCTCTGACAAGTGAGCACAGAGCACTTTATCAGTGCTGTGTTAGTACACCTAATCTACACATAGTCAACTACGTAATCATGGATAGGCCTATGCCATAAGCAAGACATTCTGAACTTGTTGCAATGCTTCCTAGAAGTACACAAAACTGCTGCACTACAGATAAAGGCAGAAGCAGTGCACAGTCTGAAATCAACTCCAGAATCACCAATCTGTTTTCTCTTCACTTGACTTCAGAAAGTGAAAACGTGGCATACTTTAGCTGAACACATTACTAGCTTTCTTCAGGATACAAAAAGCAGGGAGGCTGTGCTGAGCCCTTACATAACCATAGGTCTTGTAACTAATGGGGTGCCCTTGCTCAGAGGCAAGAAATTTGACTCCCTCAGAGCAAAAAAAGTTGCCCTTCCAAAGAATCAGAAAAACAGTTGAGATGTGGTAAAAAGGCACACATAACTATTAGTGTCTAGTCTTGTAGATGAATTCCTGTCTTTTATTTCCAGTAAAACCTAAATGTTTTTCATAATCAGCTGGTATGCTTAATCAATAATAAATTCCCATCCAGAAGACAGTTAGGAATATTCAAGTATTCTCACAATTTTTAAGACATCTCCTTTTCAGTTAAAGCATCAGTTAACTCAGAATTCCTTGACAAACAATGATGGCTTGAAAAAAAATCAAATTTTCTTCCATGATTTTTATTCAGATTTTAGATGAGGCAAAAGTTCACCTCTTAATCTTTAATTTTAGATTATGTCCTTAATCTATAAAGTATATTGAGGAATATAAGAACTGCTTATGAGAAGGTATCCTCAAAACAGGTCATGATCTTTGTCAGTGAAACTTCTCACCACTTCAGACACACAAGGTTTTACAAAGCACCCACAATCCCTAAGTCAACATTACAGTCCACGGTTACTATGTTAAATTTAATTGCACATATCTAAAGCTAAAACTGTTCTTTACACCTTTGTTTTGCCTGCTTCTGAAAAACCTGTAAATTTAAATTTATTTTACATGGAGTCCAGAACTGAAGAAACAATCTCTGCTGTTAATAAAACTCATGAGTTACACACTTTACTTCCTTGTTCAGCCCTCAATACCAAGTTTGCTAGTTTTCCTTTCCAATATGGAAAACGTTTGTTTACCTATTAATTTCCCTTACTCTGGCAGAAACACAAACCTTTCCCTACCTCTCAAAAGGACCCAAATGAAACGAGCATTCGAATCTAGATAGTCACTGCTGTTAATAAAAGCTGGCTGCTCTCATGGCTCTTCTGTTTGTGGCACTTTCTCTCCAGTCCTGTCAATTTGGCATCAGAGAAACCACACTAGATATGCTATAGAGATCCCAACTCCATAGAACTGCAGGGAGAGAAGTAACATGCTTGCCTTTGAGATGCTTGCTATTGCCTGCCAACCACAAGCCCAGACACATACCTTTTCTGGATCAAATACACTGGTAGAAGGGGCTCCTTTTCCCTGACTGGAAAAATTAGTTCCTGCCTACTTGCTAGGGAAATAGTTTGAGAAGCATTCCTTACCACACCGTATCAAGGGCAGTCATTTTTCTAATTTATTGATGGAGGAGGAAAAAAACATCCTTCTTAACAAAAATAAGCTAGCACAAACCCGATACATTTGTATACTACCTGGAGCTGCTTAAGGGAGAGCACTGAACCACCACCACTAGCAAGCGGTGCCTGGAAAGCAGCAACGAGCAGGTGAGGAATGGGTGCTGCCAGTCAGACCCCTGCCTGGAGCTGCAGCCACTGCACAACTGTTACTATCCACGCCAAGCAAGTCGCTCAGTCAACCCTGGCAGCATTCCACTCCCACTGTGCAAGATTGCAAAAGACTCCAGAAGAAGAATGAAGGGAAACCTTCGATGAATGGACAAGCTGCCAGAACAGGGGATACTGCCATGACTTACAGTCATTTTAAATTAATATTTTTGAACAGTATATGGTACCACCACTGCACCATTGTCTTCTAACACTATCATTTAAATGGATGATCAAGAGACGTAATTCTATTTAGCATATTCCATACTTCTTCAAACTAAGAAGTTTGTTTGAAGTATCTTGCTAATATTAAGAAATACAGGTGAGAGATCTAACTAGCTCAAGTTAAGTGCCTCTGCAACAGGAGTTAGTAATGGAAGCAGAGAACAGGCACATAGGCTGAGATTATAATAATTTCTGAAATCCTCTGCCATTACCCCTATATAAGAAGATGATAATGGTAATCAGCTCTCAGCAGAATCCAACTCAGCTCCCAGTGTTATGCTAAACCACAGGGCTATGAATTTATTTCAGACATGAACTTAGTCACTGTCACTTAACGTGCTGCTAGGATGCAGCAGCCCGCTCTAAGGACAGACACTAAATACTCAATTACAGCAGCTCATTCCAAACACAGCAGCAAACTAAATGGGCACAAGCTGCCTACAGATCACTTGCTAGAAATTAAGGTGTTGGCCGTGATGCTAAAGGTCCAAGAGTTCACTGCCTGTGCTACAAACAGAATCACAAACACAGCTGAGCTAGGTTCTTTCTTTATCAAACAAATAGTGAAAGTATTCTCAGAACAGTCAGTCCCATGACTGAGCCTTGTCTTAACAGCCCATGCATGGTGACCTTCAAGACACACAGCCTTTTAAACAAAGTGCTTCAAACTTGAATGAAGCTTTTTTATTTCTACTGGACTACTTAAGGACTCCTAACTGGAAAAAAAAAAAAAAATACTAACACTTTGCTGCACTTTTGGAACGTTCAGGAAAAAAAAAAAAAAAAAAAGGAAAAGGTTGAGATAGCTTCAGATATTTATGGAAACACACAGATTTCCACTTTCAGGTCATCATCTCTACACACAAAATACAATGGCATGCCATAAACACTTTGTTCTAGTAAGCCAGCCTTCCAAATGTACAGCGGCGAAAATCTTAGGTGCTTCTGTATTGTCAGATGGGCCAAGGAGCCATTAAGCACTAATTGAGCAACTCCCTCGTTCTTGCAGGTGCATTTGTCCATGCCAAGGGATGAAAGCAAATCTGGCATCTGAACAACAGTTTCTACTGCTTTTAAGGTACTTGCCTTTTCCACCTCAGTGTTGGCTAAGTGGGTAAATTTTAGAAATGTTAAACGCATGCAGTGAAAACCAGAAACATGTGATTGTTTGGCAGTGAAACAGAAGTGATACCCTTATTAAATATTTTCTTTACAAGGCGCTTGGTTCCTTGGGTAAGTTTTAAAAACCAGGACCACACAACGCATCAGAGATAATAAAGCCTTGGAGATTTGCAACTGTGGTTGCGCACAGGATTTTACCCCGGTTTAAGTGAGCTCCCCTCCGAGGGGGCAGGACTTTGTGAGCGCTGAAGGTACCCCCGGCTCCTCCCGACCTTTCCATGAGTTCCTAGCCAGCTCACAGCCCGGCAAACCAACCTGCCGCTTTCCCAAGCTTCTGGCACTGGGTGCCCGAGTTGCGACACCCATCCCCCGGTGGAACAGGGCTCCCGGACAGAGACCGTCCAGGCCCGGCCGCCCGCCCCCGCGCCGCGGCCAGCGCCGGGACCCCCTCCGGGCCCAGCGGCCTAAGGCGGGGACATCCCCCCGCCGTCACGGTCCGAAGGTCCCTCGTCACCTCCCCCACTCCCCTCCCCGCCCGGGACTCACTGTTGCTCGACTTGAGGTCCCGGTGCAGGATGGGGACGATGGCCTCGTCGTGCAGGTAGAGCATGCCGCGGGCGATCTGCACCGCCCAGTTCACCAGGATGTGCGGGGGGATGCGGCGGCCCCCGCGGGCGGCCGTGGCCCCGGGGGCGGCGGCCAGGGCCCTGTTGAGGGATCCGCCGCGGGCGAACTCCATGACGAGGCAGAGGTTGGGCTCCCGCAGGCAGACACCGTGCAGGGCGATGATGTTGGGATGCCGCAGCATGGAGAAGAGCTTGGCCTCCTGCCGCACGCTCTCCGCCGTGGCCGTGATGTCCTCGTCGGGGTCCTGCCGCGCCGCCTTCACGGCCACCTCGCGGCCCCGCCAGGTGGCCCGGTACACCTTCCCGAAGCCCCCCACGCCGATGATCTCCTGCAGCTCCAGGTGCTGGAAGTCGATCTCCGTTAGGCTCCCCGCGGGGTCCCCCCGCCCGCCGCCCCCCGCCGCCGCTCCGCCGCGGGGCTGGCGGGTCACGTAGTTGGCCGGGAAGATGCCGAGGCGGTGGCGGATCTTCCCCGCCCACCAACCGTCGTCGCCGGACACGGCCGCGTCCTGCGACAGCACCTCCACCACGTCCCCTCGCCGCAGGCTCAGCTCGTCCTCGCCGCTCGCCTCGTAGTCGTACAGCGCCGTCCACAGCGGGCACGGACCCCCGCTGCCACCGGCGGCCGCCGCCGCCCCGGCGCCCGGCAGAGCCATAGCAGCGACCTCAGCCCCGGCGGCCACCAGCAGCAGCGCCGCCGACGCGGGAGCGCCCGCACAGCCGCAGCCCCATCCTCACCTGCCGCCGCCGCCGGGCGGGAGCCGCGGGAGGGGAGGGCGGGGCGCGGGCAGGGGCAGGGGCGGGGCCGCCCGGGCCGGCCCGGTCGCCGCCGCCGCGGCCGCGGGGCTCCGGCAGGGAGAGCGCAGGCGCGCGCGGGAAAGGCGGGGAGGGCAGCGCCGGTGCCCCGCGCCCGCCCGCCCGGGCGCGCCGATTGGCCGCCCGCCGTCACGTGTCACGGGGCGCGGCGGGCGGAGGGGCCGGTGCGGTCCCGCGGAGCTGGGGGACGAGGCGGAGGCGGCTGTGACCCCCCCCCCCCTTTTGTCCCTCGGGGGCTGCAGACCGGGCTGAGGATTTGTACCTCCGCCGCAGCTTCCCCTCTCCTTCCTTGCGCGGCTTTGGGGCGCCTTTGGAAAAAGTCCCAAGCGGGCTCTGAAGAAACCGAGCTTCCTCGGTTCGTGTTTGCTCTGCCACCTGCCTCCGCCGCTCGTGGGCTCTCACAGAATAGGTCAGGCTGGAAGGGACCGCAGGGGGTCATCTGGTCCAGCCTCCCTACTCAGGCAGGGTCAGCCTAGAGCACCTGGCACGGGACTGAGGGCGGTGGTTCTTGAACATCTCCAGTGAGGGAAATTCCACAACCTCTCTGGACAATCTGTTCCAGTGCTCAGTAAAGTAGTTCTTCCTCGTATTCGGGTGGAACTTCTATGCATCAGTTTCTGCCTGTTGCCTCTTGTCCTATTGCTCAGCCGCACTGAGAAGAGCCTGGCTCCATCCTCTCGGCACCCTCCCTTTAGATACTGATAGACATTGATGATGTTCCCTCACTGTCATCTCTTCTTGAGGCTCAAGAGGCCCAGCTCCCTCAGCGTTTCCTCGTGAGAGACACTCCAGGCCCTTAATTATTTTTGTTGCCCTCATCTGGACCCACTCCAACTCTCCCGTGCTCACCACCCTGTCCGTGCAAGGGCTGAGGGACGGCCCTGTGTGGTGTGATCACACAATCCTTTCAATTAAGAGGTTGCCTGAAAATAGAAAATGCTGCGTATATGCTATTTCTGGGTAAAGATTCTCCTGGTTTTAAGTGGAAAAATCGGATCACTTTCTAAACTACGGTTGTTGTTTCCTTGGAAGTTGGAGGGAAGTGTGTGGGCTGGGGACGCCCTCCCATCTTGTCTCGCCAGCGTGGTGGGAAACAGTGGTTCAAAGTGGAAGGAAATGAGTTTTCATGCCAGAAGCCAATCACTGTGCTGTGGCACCTGTGGTTATGGATATGGCTGCTGCCAGCAGAGGCCCCGAGGAGGACAGTAAAGGCTCGGGAAAGTTGTAAAACTGCATTGCTGGGTTGAATAATCTGGTGTAATGAACGCTCAATATTTTGCACAAAAACCTACATCCAGAGCTCATCTCTACATAAACACAAAATTTGCAGCTGGATACCACAGAACTAAGGTTTAAACATAAAGAAAGTAATTGAAAAAAAATTAAATTACAGTATTCAGAAATAAAAAATTCTTGTTTATCCCTCTGCATTTATAGTTGTGCACAACGCAAAAATACAATTATGCTAAAGTGACTTACTGAACCACATTAACCAAAAAGAAAGAATGCAGAACCAGCATGTCTATCAAGTCTTCTCCCATTTCCTTTAATATAACATTGCCTTGCAGCTATTCAGAGAGGTAATTACAAGCCTTTCCCTTATCTGCATATTTGCCTTATTATAAAAGCCATAAAGTATGTTGTAATACAAGCGTTCTGCCACACAAATTCCACCTTGTACTTTGTTATCTAAAAGAATCTGCAGGAACTAATTAAGTGTGGAATGTTTTGGGTCAGACAAGGTATTGGTTGCAGTACAGTGAAATGTTTAAATATTTATCTAGGGCTATTATTCCAAAATTTGCTTTCTGAAGGGCCACTATCCACTGGCAATCACTGCACTCAGGTTAGACTTTGTGCAGTGTTTCTTCAGCACCCAGCCCTTCAGGATCTTGGTGTATAGCTTCTATTCCTAAGAGTTCCAGTAATGGAAATACTATAACCCAAAACAGTGTAAAGTGCCCTTAACTTTCCTGACGGCACCACCTAGTGGAGTTACCGGTTAAAAGAGCGGCGAACAGACGGTAGTTTTCGGCTCAGACCCTCATTGGCATCTCTCTGTTGAGAAAAGAGGTCCCCTTTTTCATCTTTGGCACTCCTGCAGCTGTGTAGCTACAATACTGTGCATCTACGTTGTGTCCAAAACACATATCCTGACCTGGAAATTAAAGGAACCCTTCATAACTGCAAGTATCACTATACAAAAAAAACCCAAAAATACTTGGTGTCAGTATTATCCAAAGATGAGAAAACATTGAAAGATTTGAGTAATGTGTGGACAAGTGTCATGGTTTAACCCCAGTCAGCAGCCAAACCCCACGCAGGCACTCATTCCCCTACCAGCAGGATTAAGGAGAGAATCAGAAGAGTAAAAATGAAAAAACTTGTGTGTTCATAGGGAAAGCCATGCTCACAAGCAAAGCAAAACAATTAATTCAGCACTTTGCATGGGCAGGTAGGTGTTCAGCCATCTCCAGGAAAGCAGGGCCCCATCCCATGTAATGGTTACTTGGGAAGACAAACACCATCACTCCAAATGTCTCCCTCTTCCTCCTTCTTCCCCCCACCTTATATACTGAGCATGATGTCATATGGTCTGGACCATCCCTTTGGCCAGTTTCAGTCATCTGCCCTGGCTATGCTCCCTACCAGTTTTTCTTTTTTCTACCACCTCACTGGCAGGACATGAGACACAAGAAGTTTCTTGATTTAAGACAAACATGACATAGCAACAACCAAAATATCAGTGTGTTATCAAGCAGTATTCTCATATGGAATCCAAAACACAGCACTGTACCAGCTACTGAGAGGAAAATTTACTCTATCCCAGCCAAAACCAGGACAATAAGTCAACCTAATTAATATCAATTGCAGTCTGCATTATCTAGGCCTTCCACATTATAACCTACATGAGTTAAAGGTCTCAAAAAACAGAAGAGAGAAAATTTTGAAGAAGCTTTCTATTTACACCCTTGTTTACCCACCTTTCTATTTTGGAGCTGTGCACATAAAGGAAATTATTTGCTAGTCTGCCCGTGGAAAATGACTTCAGTAGTTTCTGAAACTTAACATTTTTAGTATTATCATACATCAATAACATTATTCATAGCTGCATATTGCACTTGATTCAATCATTACAATTGCTTTAACAAACGTTGTCGTCTTTGAAAAGAACTTGTAAAGGATAAAAAAAAAAAAAAATCACTGAACAAGGCATAAGTTTGGGCAAGATGTGTTTACAGGAGTAGCACATGAGGCGTGGCCAGGACTGTGCCTTCTTCATACAGCTCAAGAACAGCTCATACCAAGACTTTGCTGCTCACTGAGGTCACACTGAGCCAAGTACTCAAGCCCCAAGACTGTAGATCCTCAGGCATCTTCTGGTGGCAGTGCTGCAGAGGGAGACGATGCCATTCCTCCCCTGCTCCCAACTGCTTGTTCACAGTGCTGAATCATCCCTCCCATCAGGCCAAAACAAGCATCCAGCACGGCCACATCGCCTGCAAAATAAGGAAGAAAACTGAGGTACGTGGTTCACGAGCTCACAAATGCTGTAATAGCATATTTCATCTCTTACCTTTGTAAAAAAAAAAATCCACACAAAGCACAGCAGAATGGCATGTTTGGTCTGTGAAGCTGTAGCCACGGCCAGGAACAATTGAAGTAGGGTAAATTTGGTGATGTGCAAGATGATAGATGTATCCATTACGTACATGAATCCTTCACAATAAAGGCTGTAGTAAAGGTCTATACGTGTGAAACAGTCCCTAGAAGGGTCCAGTGAGGGACTTAAAATTGAATTTCACCGCTATTTTCTGATGATGGGGGATGGGAGGTGTTGAGCACCGTGTGTGGTCAGCGTTGGTGTTCACAACCCACCCTTACACCCCTTCCTTCGGGGGTGTCCCGTAAGAATATACCTGGTATCCATATGCCTCATTCTTCACTGACTTTAGTATCCCCTGCTCAAAGCTTCCACTCAGCTCCATCACCTTTCCAGTTCCAGCCTTCCCCACTTCGCCTAGGCTTCCTCCAGCCCGCCCTTACCTCCTCACTCCCTTACTTTGACGTCAGCTGCGTGAAACTCTTCAACGAAGGCACCTTGGGTTTTTCCCTAAATCTATTCTTGAAAGAATACGCATGTTTTTTTGAGGAATTTCCCCACATTCCGCCCAAACCACACCTCGAGTCAACGCAAAACGGGTGACACTGAAGTTGGGCAGAGCTCGCAGATCGGAAACTCGTGATGTATCGGGCAGGATCACAGAGAACCCGGCGCTGGGGGAGTGGCCGGCGAGGCGCGCAGCCCAGCTGGCGGCCGCCGGGGCTGCCCCTGTGTCGCGCTTTTTTTGCACCTGTGAACGCACCTCGCGGTGCCCGGGGCGGGCCGCGGCCGTGACGGACACCCCCGCGCCAGAACCGGCCCCCCCTCCGCCGCGGCTCGGCTCGGCCCGGCCCCGCTCCGCCCCGCGGCCTCCGAGCGCTGCCGCCTCTCCCGGCAGCCGGGCGCGGACCCCGGTGGGGCGGGGGCCCCGGCCCGCGGCGGGGCCGAGCGAGCGCGGTGCCCGGCGGGGGGCGGCCCGTGACGGCGCCCTCCCGGCGGCGGCGGCGGCGGCCGGGGTGGGGCGGGCGGGATGCTCGGCGTCGCGGGGCACCATGGGAGAATCCGCGGGCGCCCGGCATGGCGGCGGCGGCGGCGGGCGGCTGAGGGGCGGCGGTGGCGGCGGCGGGGGGCGGCCATGGTGTCGCCGGCGGCGCGGCTGGTGGGGCAGGGCGTGTGGGCGGCGCTGACCGGGGGCTGGTACCACGACCCGGAGCAGGGCGCCTTCACCAACAGCTGCCACCTCTATCTGTCGCTGTTCCTGCTAACGCTGCCCATGGCCCTGCACCTGGTGAGAGGGGCTCCGGGGGCTGGGGAGCGGGGACCGGGCTGGGAGCCGGGCTGGGCCCTGGCCCGCAGGCGGCAGCGGCCAGGGCGCTCAGCGGGCTGTGAACTGCCCTCAGCGGGGCTGAAATAATGGGCATTCTGGGCTGTGCCTGAGGATTTTGTGTCTAAAGGTTAACGGGGTGAGTCCGCCGGCTGCGCTAGGCTGCGGCCGGACCCTTAGCCCTGCCGGAGGAGTTGGGTAGAGGTGCAGCGGTGGGCTCTGCAAGTGCTGAATGACCGTGGGGACGTTTGCTCAAAAATCTCTTTCGGAGACAGGTGTTTCGGTTTTGTTTTTTTTTTGTTGTTGTTGTTGTTGTTTTTTTTTTAAAGTTTGATCCAGGTCTTACCTCATGAGAAGGGTAAATAAATGGAAACATCCAGATACCGTGTAATTAATACGCCTTGCTGAATGTCACTGGTGAATCACATGGCTTTTTGTGACATGCAGCTCCCTTTGTGCTGAAATTTAAACTTTGCAAGTGAATAATAACTAGAGCTTCTTTGCCGGACTTTAAAATTTATTTTCCTGAAAAGCTTGAAACTTTTTCTCGTTTTTGTGTGTTTTCATACTGTGTGAGAAAAGCTTAAAGTATGCTGGGTCATTGAATCTATTTTGGTGTGTCCTTCAGTGATTATAGGTTAATATTGCTTCCGTTATAAGCAGCTTCCATCCATTTGGTTCCTGGAGTGACTCAACTAAATTCTCAACTTCAAAATAGTTTTTTACGCTACATGGTCAGCTATGGGCCTGATTATCAAAAGCAAAGAGCATTTATGACTCCCCCTGCAATCCCAGTGGAAAGCAAATCTTGTATTTTTAAGTGTGATTTGGTATTGGATTTTGTGGCATGGATTGCAGTGAATTCCTCCTGTAAGAATGGCTCATGGAGTTAATGAACCAGAATAACAATATGCTTTCTTCTGACTGATCGCATATTTCCTATGCAAACCAGCAAGAGTCTTGCATTGGAGGATTTGCTGTTCAAGTCATATGTGTGATTAAAAAGTAAAAAAAAAATTGAAGGCTAACTTTTTTGTCCCAGTTGGTATAAGTATATATCTGAAAGGATTCCTTGTGGGAAACTTCTGGACTGACGAAGGTGTGGGCGTTGCATGAAACAACACTGGACTGTAGGTCAGAGCTAAAGTAGAAGTAATTTTTTAAAGGGGAGAAAATGTAACTTATCTACTGAACTCGCTTGGGCATCTTCTTTGCCTAACTAGATGGACTTGCTTTTTCTGCAGACTGACTGACTTTCTGATGAATCATCTGGTTAAATGCAGGTCTTGTGTTCTTGAGCTAACATATTGCTATGGGAATTCTTTGTCCTTGATAAGAATAATGTGTTTATTATGATGGCTGCCTGACAGTAATTATGTCCTTACACGTTTTCTTGTTTTCAAGTGGCTTGTTTCTAAGGCTTTGTAAACTTTATGCAAGACATCTATTCTTGCTACTTAGAAACTTCAGCCTGCTCTTTAACCAAAGGTTTTTTTCTGCTTTATAAGAAATTTTGTTTATAATATTCAATAGTGTCTGGGTTGATATTTATGTTACGTACTTGACACCAATATTTTGGATTCAGCTAAAGCAGTCAATGATGTTTCTTAAAATGGCAAAATCAAAACAGACCGGAGTACTACTTTAAATTTTTCATTTGCTTGGGATAATATTTTGTTGAAGTTAGGAAGTCTCTCTGAAACAGTGTGATTTGAATCAAATAGCAAAACTCATCCATCTGTTTTTAGTTTTTTCACAGTGGCTCAGCAGAGGCGTGCTGATGGTAGCATTGAGAAGCTTAAAGTATCAAGTTGTTTCTGTTGTGTGGATGGAGAATTTCTTTCTCTAGCTTATTCAGCATAGCTTACTTTGGTACTAAGGATTTCTTTATTAGCTTCCCCGCCCCTGAAAATGCAGATCTCTGTTTCCATTACTTTATTTACTTAATCATTTAAACATTAAAAATGTACATTGGATGTTTTGAGCATCATTGCTGTTCAAATCAACTTTCAAAATTATAATGAGATCTCTTCTAACTGTGCCATATCAACTTTCATAATATATTAAGAATTAAAGTTACCTTATTCCACCAAACAGTTGAGGATCCCTACGTGTTTTGCACATGAAAATAGTGATAACTCTTTAGTATTCAGCTCCCAGACTGAATTCAGCCCCAGAAAAACATCAGTGACCTAGAGATGCAACTTTGGGAAATACTTCTACTATAGCTTATTTTATAAGCTGCAAGAGAATGTGCATCATGTTTGGGCAATGGCCCAAAACAATGTACTGAATGTTTCTCCTGCCTTTTGCTGGACAGGGAGCCCTTGAACTTACTACTTACACACTAGATCTTCAAATCATGCTGTGATAGGAGAATTACAACATGGCAGTATAAGGGTGTGGGCACATAAATTACTCAGAGGTAAGCTGTGATAAAACTAGCAGTGTGTCAGCTGCTTCCAGTCCCACTTGGCCACCCTTTATGCCAGTCTGTAACAAAGTTAAGGATACATATATCTCCGCAGCAGAGAGGTAGGCTACCCAGTTACACACTATATTTATTGTCTGATAGGACACACACTTAGAACTCAATGCACCCCCCTGGAATTTTATTTGCTACCTGCTTTCCCATGGACATCTCTTAGTATGGATTCACCTTAATTAACATATAAGCATGGATCTTTGGCCACAGTGTCATATCTCCCACGCATATCTCTGATGGTAGTGGCTAACTGCACATTTGAATGGTAGGTCCCTGACCCAGGTGTAGCACTGCCTTGCTTTAGATGCCTCAGGGGCTCAAACAGTGGGTGGGATACATCTGGGTCTAAGCACCCTTTATCATTAAGCCCAATTTACAAGGCGTGGTATTTTGTTCAAAGGTTACATACCTTTATGTACGTATCTCAGTCACCTCCACCTTTGTGCTACTCAAATAATGTCAGTAGACATGTGAAGGAGAATGTGGCTGTTCTTCTGAGCAGGCAGAAGCCCCAAGCAGAGGTGCTCCTTATGTGGTGATGTCAACTCTCTTGCATTTGCAGCGATAAGTTGGGTTGCATTTGGGGCACACCAGCCTGCATTTCTGGCTGTGACCCCACGCTATTCTGGTGCAGGGTACAACAACAGAAGCTACTGGAGAACAAAATGTACATTATGGTAGAGTTTTCAATGGGACAAGAATGAAGAAAACTAGGGCTACAGCTTCCACAGAAACCTGTGGGAAGTCATGAATCCCACTTTCTAATGAATTTGTATTTATGGATTTTTTTTTTTCCTAGCTTCTAATAAGATGTCAGCTCAGTTGAAGCCGATCCTGCCACTGGGGTGGCATCAAAAGGTCGGAGAGCTGTGTGAGTTCCTCTCATTAATGGAGGAGGTGTGCTGCTGTGACCTTGACCAATGGGGCGCATTCTCTTAAAGTTTGCTGAATAACTTTTTAATTCTTTGGCTACCTTTCAACTGAGGGGATGGAGGGAGATGATGAATAGGCAGACACATGATGTGATTATAAAACCTCATTTTCATAGAAAACCAGGCTAATTATAACTATAGTGCATCAAAAGTGACCCTATCATCTAATTCCTCAGTGGTCTATAACTTAATTCCTCCTTAGTGTGGATTTGATAGCTTTCACCTGTCTGTACCTGGGAGCACCAACTGCAGTCGTATGACACTGGTACCTTATGCAAGAGGCCTGATTCACAGAATGGAGGGCTTTCCATTATCAGCTTCACCTTTCTCCTCATTCCTCATGTGGACAGGGAGCAACCTGCTGGCTTGTAGCACTCAGCCTGCCCCAAGATTCAGAGTGTTAAAGATGCACTGGCCATTGGCAGTCTTGGTGTGTAAGGGCGCTAAAACACAGCATACCTTGGACAGATGGGCACGGAGACCATGGGCTGGCTCAGGGCACACCTCTGGTAGGTCTGGTCACGAGGCAGGGATGAGGACATGCAGCACTCAGCATTTGCTAAAACTGGCCCTGTTTTCCACTCAAAAATCTGGGAGCTTCCTTTGAATCTCTCTTGTAGCATGCTGTCTACACGCATAGGCTGCGCTACTGGAAATCTATTTTTGTTGTGTCCTCTTGACATTATTCATATAATATTCATTAAGCTTTATGAATGTCACCTATAAAGCACTTCTTTTCTAGTGGGCTGTTCTGTGTTGTTATTTAATAATGAGTGGTTGATCTGTGCATTTTAGTGTCTAGTTGAATAGATTCCTTAGAAGGTGAACAAATCTCCCTTAAACAAGTTATTACAGATAATTGGCTGTCGCTCTTTGTGAAACCGAGCAATTTCTTACTCGTTTTGTAAAAACATTAGTCATAAACCACAAATTCTTTAACCTCCAGTTCTTCAACCTCATCCACTAAGCCTTATACCCTGAGAACATGACCTTGCAAATGGATCCTCTGGCCCGAGTTCTCTAAATAACTGAAGGGTATGCTGAGAGTAGTATTTACACAGTACTGTGAAGTACTCTTAACAGACTTAAGCCTCAACTTGTAGAAAGTCATGTCTGTCTTATTAGGGATCAGTGGTAGTATGCACATCCTAAATAGTTTCCCCACTATTGTGCAATAGATTCTTTGTATCTGAATCAGAACAGTCATAAAAAAGGATTCGCTTGAAAATATTCACGTATACATCTTGATGGTATGAAGTCCCAGTGAGCCAAAAGCAGCATCAGAATTGCATCCCTCTTGCTTGTCATAACACAGAAATGATTCAACGTATTAATTTCAACATCAAGATAAATGTGGTGACTTGTCCTAAAGATGAAATAGGCATGCCTTGTTTCCTTCCCTTTACCTGTGTGGTCAGTGTGATTTATTTCTGAATTTGAAAAAATGATTGATTTAGTCCTAAAGTAAAAATAATTCTAAAAAATTACTTTCAGTAGGCTTTTAGCAAGTCCTGAGTATCGAAAACCTTCTTTGTTTTTTGTGTTGATTGGGGTTTTTTGTTGTTCTTCTGTGAGAATATGGTAAAGCTCTGTTTAAATAAAACGCCTAAAACTTGAAAAGAGATTAAACTCACTGTGAGACTGTAGCAATGCAATGACAACACGTAAGCATGTTCCATGACTACAATAGTCAATACATGACTTTTGTACTTCAATTATAACTGCAAGTTTCAATTGGTATGATTTGACCTTTACTGTAAGGAAGTGTTTGTATATAAAAAAGTTGTTAGTATGTCATGTCTGTGGAAGAACTTTACAGATTATAGTTGAACTGTAATTAATTTTAATGACTAAGAGCTGTAGTGCTCATCACAGATCAGCAAACAGATCACAGACAGCTGCGAATTAACAATTATGTACTTTAGAAAAATAATTCAAAGAGGTTGTGTCATAGTTTAACCCCAGCTGGCAACACACAGCCAATCACTCACTCCTCCAGCCTCAGCCAGGACAGGATGCCTTTCTAACTGTGTTTTTATTAATTTGTTTTGACTAGTCCTGACTAATTATTTAAAATTCCTCAGTGGTTAAGGTATTTGGGAACATGTGAGGCATTAGAAAGTGGACATCAAACTACAGTGTTTTACTGTATGCAGTATTTAACTGACATACAGGGTTAAGATGACAGAATTTTTCTAAAGGTTTTCTGTTTGTAGATAACTAATGTTTCATTTTGTGTCTGTATTTTTTGAATTCATAGTTTAGGAAAGGCTGCAGCTGCATTAATATGGGAGTGCAGTATTTTAAATGTGTTTGACAATGGTGAGATTTTGCTGATTTTGATAATAAATAATATCCACAGCTAATAAAAAGAGGAATAGATCTTGTAAAATGGTTTGAAACTTGAAGAAACCCTTAAACTTTTTCTGTGAGCAGAACTCAATACAGATATTGTATGTAAAAATTTTAGCAGCATCTTCTCAAAGCGAACTGTTATCGTTGTGTCTTCATTATTTCTTTCTGTAGGCTTTTCCAGCAAATGCAGTGACTGTTTTTGTGTACTGCAGCTCGGTGACAGTTTTCTTCACGGTAATAAAGGTGATCAGCTACCGTTTGCACCTTATGTTTGATAAAGGCGAAGTAATTCAACAAAAGCTCTCAAGAAAAAATGGAAGGCAGTGTAAAGATACAGAGGTTCAAAAAGGAGAAGTGGTTCAGTCCTCAAACTGTAGGTAAGGTTTTCATTGTATTGCTGGCACATTATGTAAAATGGGTGAGTTTGCACGATGGTCCTTCATAGCAGAAATGTCTGTTGAATGCAAGAATAGTCCTTACAGCTGTGTGAAGAATGACGCTTTCAAAAACTTGCTTAGTGCTTTTCAGCTGGTTAGCTGAAATGTTCTTGTGGTGTAGCAGGCAGAGCTGCACCTGATTCAGAGGTCGGGCAGCAGTTTCCTTGGTGAGGAAAGAAGTGCAGTATTTTTACAGCCCTTATGCTTTCATCATTGGAGGGGAAAGAAGTGCCGTTACTTCATTTTGCTGTGCTACTTCTTACCATTTTGTTCTTATTCATCAACTACTTCCCAAAACTCGCTGTGATGCCCTGTGGTAAGAAGCATTGCTTTATCTTTCATATGCTTCCCCTTCAGCAATAACTCGGGGGATCATGTCATCGGTGAGACCAGCCAAAATGACTCTACGCAGACAATTCCCGACAGCTCCAGAGTGCAGGCTCCGCACTCGCAGGACTCACCTGGAGCCACGGTTAGTATGTGCACTCCTCCAGCAGTGTCCTCGCCTCGTGCAGTCCACAGCTCATCACACACAGTGGTTTTGTGTTGCCAGGTGCTCATAGCTTCCAAGCAGGAAGGGTCATTCCATGCATCTACTGGGTATGACTGCCAGTCAGCCTTGTCCTGAAGGTTTGGCTTTGCAGATATGAAATTGCCATACGTAATGCTACACTTCTTAGGAGGGCTCTCTCTGCTCTATACTATAAGGCAAGTGGCCTTCGTAAATCTTGCCAAGAGCAATAGCTTTTGGGGCTCCTTTGAGAGGAGGGAGAGGCTAATGCAATCAGAATTATTTTGTTGCCTCTGAAGGGATCTGCTCCTGGAGCATTAATAATTCGGTTTTGTGTAACTAGACTTACGCTTATAAAATAAACCAAAAACATCTCTTCAGTATTTAAACAAAGCATAAAAGCCATTTAAATCTAGATGTCTAGGGGAGGTTAAAATTGTGTATATGTGCACTCAATGCCGTTGGCTATGCTTAATAAATCAAAGGTATATGAAGTGAAGATAATGTATGTAAGTGTTGTTAAAGAAAGAAAAATAGGAAACACTCAAGATGAAGAAATTTTCAAAAAACTAAGAAACAGAATAACACTGTCTGTGTAGTCTTAAGCTACTCCCCTTGCATACTCTGATAATATCTTTAATTATGTGATGCCGTGCTATTTTTTTCTACAGGACTCCTGCCTCAGTCAGTGCAGAGGATGGTTAGTGATTTCTGAATAAGTGGCTATTTGATACTTCATTCTGTCTTCATAGTCCTCCAAACCCACCCTTTATCCCTATTTAATACAAATAATTCAAATCCTGGTCTGAATCAGAACTATTTCTTCATTTCCTGGAGTGTTTTTACCTTTTTGTAGCATCTGTGTGATTCACAGACATTAATAATTCTTTTGGTTTGTTTTTTTAGTGAGGTAAGATATTTTTCACCTTGTTTCTGTTCTACTCTCCAGTATTCTGGTATTTGTCCATTCTCCAAACCTATGTCTTCCAGGGATCTCATCCTAGTCTCCCACTTCAAAACATGTAGGTTGGGTCTTGTCAAACCAAGTCTCCTGTTCTAGTTACCAAGATACCACCATGAAATTTTAGAAAATAAAAATAATTTCCTCTTGGTTTTGGTGCCTGTCAGTCAGAAGAGAGCCACAGTCATCTCTTTCAATGTCTTGTTCTTAATTATGCACTTAGGCTGTTGAATTTAAACTCCTGAAGTATTCCTCTGGGGTATTTAGTTTTGAGCTCCCCAGTTAGTTCCCATGCACACTGACCTGCTGATGAGAATCCAGCAGAAACCACCAAGGTGACTGAGGAACGTGATGTGTGAGGACAGGCAGATGGGATGTTTTAGCCTTTGTAAGGCTAAATTCTTTTGTAAGTCTAGAAGAAGAGCTTACTGCTGCCTTCAGCTTTCTAATAGTAAGATACCCAGCAGATTGAGTACACTCTTCTCAGAGGTGCCCAGTGACAGGATAAGAAAGAGTTGCAGCCTTGGAAAGCTAGTTAGATCAATTACATTTAATGTCTTTTGTGTGGGGTTGTTTTGTTTCTTGGTGGTTGGTATGTTGTTTGGTTTTTGCCCATACCAAGTGAGTGGTCAAATACTGGAAGAGGTTTTCCGGAGAAGTTGTGAAATCTCCTTCTTCGGAGGTTTTCAAAGCTCTGTTGGAGATGGCCCTGAGCAACCTGCTCAAACTGTATCTGCTTTGAGTGTGTGTGTGTATGGCAGAGGGGATTTGGACTAAATGACCTTCAAGGCTTTCTTGGAATCTAAATGATTCTATATTAATTTAATGTCTCTGTCCTCTAGTTTTCCATAGAGAAATACTTACCAATGCTAGAGGCCAAACTTTTCATTTTAGTGCTTCGGAAACACATAGCTGGAAAAGAGGAACAGATGAACACATTCTATTCCTTGATGATTAAAAAAAGAAAGTATCTGGATTAGGCACTGCAATTTTTTTTTTTTTAAGAACATCTTTTTCTTTCCCTTCCCCAAACATCACATCCAATTGCAGTGATGCAATTTGGAGCATGATTGCTCTATAACCATCTCCCTCACCCACCCCTTGCATTTTGTGCAAGGTACATGTTCAAATTTCAGTGATTTTAAGCAGCTTACCAGTGCTGCAATTGACCTTAGATAACTGTTGATAGCTACATTGATAGATTTTTTTCCCAACAGAATTTAATAAATGACCATGTTAATATTGTGTGTTTCTTTTCTTTTTTTTAAGGATCTGCCAACAAGGGAAACTATTGAAGATCTTAGAGGTATTTTAAAGGCTTTATGAATCCCCTTAAACTGTTGTTTAATCATTGCTTGGCATAAAGAGTAATGCCACAGAGGACCCCATGGCCGATTCTGTTGTGCCTCCTATTAGGGTGTGAATTGAAGAGCCAGAACAAAATTTCAAGGATGTTCTAACAGACTAAGCTTTCTCAGCTGTCAGCCAAGCTGTTTGGAATGCAACCTTTTGAGGGGTGTGCAAATAGTTCTTCCCATTTTGATACAGGGAGATGAAAGATCCTTGCCTCACATTCTTGGGAATGCTTCTGTAAAGCATCAAAGTAGGAAACTACCACTTGAATTGAATCTTAGAGCCCTTGAACATCTGGCTGTAAACTTCTATTGTGATTGTCAACCTTTAGGTCTGTGTTGTATATTCCAGTACACCTTAATTTGCCTTACACTTCCAGTGCTTGAGATGTCTTAATATTTTAAATACTGCTTTGTTTTTATTATGGCTGATCAGTATATCCTGTGTGACCATTTAGGAAATGTAGAAAGTGATGTAGCAACCTGCAGCATTGGTTTATTCTTTCTTTCACCTCTCCCTAAGTGGGGATAGTTCTGTAAAACATTTTGATTTTGAAACTAGCTGTTTCTTCAGCTATTTTGATTATTTAAATAGACATGGTGCTAAACTTGTCCTGACTTGGAAGGGTTCTATCTTGCTTTTGTAGTACTTCATATGTAGCTACCAAAAAAACTCCTCCTTGTTTTGGAACTGTTTTAATCAGCTATGTCATCTGTGCTTCCTTTGCTCTGCTCTGGATCAGGTTTTCTTGGTTAAAGATCATAGTTTAAAAATGCTTAGTGTTCATGTGAGACCTAATGCCAAAATGTTTTTTCTTAGGTGTTATGGTACTAGAAGACCAGGCTACACCACCAGTTTCATCTACCTCACCCTGTATCAAAGCAGATATATTACCTGTTTCTACAACCTCTGGTTCAGGTGCCACCACATCAGCAATAGCAACAAAACCAGCTGTTATGGAAACATTTCCTGGTGATGGAGTAAATGAAAAAGGAGTGAATGGACAGCCTTGTGGCCACCGTGGATCCCAAGATATTCTTGTGGACAGAGACATAGCTAAAAACTTCTCCAATATTTCTTCATCACAAGGTGATATTTTAAGGACTGGAGTTTCTTCAGAGCCATGGGACAGTGAAAATTCAGTTATTTCAGACTATTTAAGTAATCCTAAAAGCTACAAAAGAGAGAAATTGCCAGATGGATTGCCAGAGACAGGCTTTACCAGTCACTACCCACAGTGCAATGCCATTGCAACCAAAGAGCGTGAGCAGATGGAAAGTTCTTGCAATGCTGATAATAGCCATGAGGACCTTGATTGCTCAGACAGTGAGACTGCTGTCGTAGTTGTGGATAATTCTCTTCCTGGAGACCAGCTGTGTGAGCCCATCAAAATTGTCATCACAATGAGTACTACACCAAACACCACCCTGAGTGACCTACCGGGCTCTGTGCCCTTACAGGCCCTGGAAAGTGAGAGAACAAGCTCAGCCCTTGACTCTGGTGTAGTTAGAGCAGGCTGGTCAAGTCAGCAAACTAATGAACAGCTCAAAATCCCTGTTATCACGTTTGACCTGTCTGAGGACAGTAAAGCTAAGCCTTGCTCAGAAGTTAGTGAAAGTGACAGAACTCCGGAAATGTTGAGGGCAGAGTTGTCATCCAACCAGTGCTCCGGCTATGAATCGGGTGATGCAGTAAAGGAGCTCAGCAACCCAGCAAATACACCTCTAGAAACTAACACTTGTTCAGATCCAAATCAGGAGAATGCTTTGGAAAATGTCCAGACTGTGGATTTAAGTTCTAAGGAAGACCTGCATAACCTAGACCCACAGTCCTGTAGAACTGCTCATGAAAAGAGGCATATGCGGGTGTTGAGTGTAGACAGTGGGACAGATGTGCTTTTAAGTAAGAATTTTGTGGAGGTATCTGACAAAGAAAAGACTTTACCAACCTCTAAATCAGATCTAGAAGCTAAAGAAGGTCAGATGCCCAACGAATCTAACTTTCTAGAATTTGTCTCCCTCTTGGAATCCATTAATACCTCAAAGATGAAGACATCTAATCAATCCACTGTCAAAACAGAGACGACAAAGGAAAATGGGCTTGTTGGAGGTATTATGCATGGGTTACAATTCTTTTGGAATAAAGATATTGTGAAGAATTTGATTACTTAGCTGGATATCTGCAGTAATGCTAATTTCCAGAGGATGACTGGTTTTGCTAATAGGGCCAGGGTAGGGCTGGACTCAGTGGGACAAAGTGGTTTGGTGAGTGTGTGTGATAGTGTCAGCTGCAGTTTTAAAATATTTTTATCTTCTTGAAGAAAATGATTTTCCTTCCTCTAAGAAACCTAGTGATAAGCTTTGTAGGTATCCATTATGTGTGTAGTATTCTGTACTAAAATAGTGTGCCTGGATTTTTGGAATACCAGAAGTATCTTGCAAAAATATGTATAGCTATAGCATTACACCTGCCCTTGCACATCTTACCAGGTGCTCGTTGAGGAGTTGTCTGTGTGCCTCTGACTATGAAAGCTGAAATTGTCACTGGATATGGCTCAGCTTTTAGCTAACACGTGTGCGCACACATGCATATATTTCTAAATTTCCTGGATAGTTGTGGGTTGGCTTATAATTTAAAAAAAAGGAGAAGTCATGTACCTGTTCTCAATAGATAAGAGTTTTTATTTTCAGTCACTTAAAATATTTGCATTTTAAGGATGAAAGTTTGGTGGCTGTTTTCAGTGAAAGCCCCCAGTATTTTAATGAAAAATAATATATTCCCTTGCACTTTTCCATTACCTATATGCAGTACAACTTAGAGCTTTTGTATAGAAATTTCTGGTTTAAATCAGCATTGTTGTTGCTGTCAGTGAACTCTAGGGCCTTTTTCTGTTGGGAAGGACTTGTTTATAGTGTCTCTAGTGGCCTTCCAGCAAAATTAGTAGGGCCATTTAATGAGGATGTGAGATACAGTGCAGTGAAGGCAGATGCAATCTCGTGGTACTTCCCCAAGTGGTCAGCACAGCTGGTTTAAAAGATCTGACTCAAAGTGAAATAAGACAACCTGTATCTTCCCCTTCTCCAAAACATTTGTTTTACCTTAGATCCTATAATAAGCTGTTTTAATAAAGCCTAAGAGGATGCACTCTCAGTACTTAATTTGCATGGAAGATAAGAAACTTGATGGTACTCTAGAAGAACAGCTTGGTAGTCCTATTTTGTCTGCTCCCTGTTCCACCGGCTTGTTGCTGCATGAGCCTTCCATTACATGAAAAACGCCCAACTGACTTAAAAGGTTTTTAAAAACTATTGTGAAATGTGTGCTTTTATCTTGTCAAAAAAATAAGTAGAATTATCTTCTCAATGTGTCATTTTCTTTTAGATTCCATTTACCTTTCACTCTGTCTGATAATCCCTATCTCATTCCATCTTTCACCTGGGTTCATTTTTTCTTCTTTCTAGAACTTTTTCTAGTTCTGTGCCTTTCCTTCCTCCATTTAGGCACTCCCCTTCTGTGCCACCTACTTATTTGTCTTCCTCTTCTTATTTGTACACTCTCTTTCCTTCTGTTCTTCCTAGCAATCCACACTGTTGCTGGTTTAGGCTTTTCTACTCTGTTGAGCCCACCTAAAGCTGTTGCCTCCCCACAGCTTGCATTCACTTTTCCTGTACTTACCTTCCTCTCAGTTCCTTCTGATGAGGGAATTGAGAGGAGGGTGGCACAGAAGTGAATTTTGCTCTTCCTAGACGTGCCACCTCTCTTTTGGTGTATCTTACCCATCTCTCCTGCCTTCTCTGGCTGTTTATTCTTCACTGCAGTTTCTGTCCTTCTCTATCGAGTTTATCAGCCTGCCCTTCTGGCTCCAGTCTGTGGTCTGATTGCCCAAGACAAATGCTGAGCAAGCCCTGCTTCTCACTTGAGCCTGCTGAGCCCTGCTGGATTCCTGGGGTGCAGAGTCACCTACCTGCACAGCAGCACACAGCAACGTGAACGGTGCAGCAAACAGATTGTGATGTTTTTCTGTTTCCTCAGCCATAAAAAGGAGTGTTTACACAATAATTGTACTTGTGAGTGATGTGACTTAGGCGGAAAAGAGAATTTCAGAGGTAAATTTAAATGAAAATTAAAAAAGAGAGAGTGCAGCTAATCTAGAATGGCCTTTCAGACAAGTATCCTCAGATAATATGAACAGGGAAGGTTGCTGCATGAAAGAAAGCAATGGATGATCAAAATAAGTCAGACTCAGATTCCACAGTGAAAACAAAACCCAAACCCCAACGCCAAAACTTATTATTGTGTGTGTAGTTACTGTGCTTTAGATCTGGTGAACAGGACACCTATACAAGATCATGAGGAAACAGAAGAATTCTGCTCTTCCCTCAAACCAAGCTCTCATTTAGTGACTTGAACTGAATTTCATAGAAGCATAGAATGGTTTTGTTTGGAAGAGACCTTAAAGATCATCTAGTTCCATGCTCTTGCCATGGACAGGGACACCTTCCACTAGGTCAGGATACTCAAAGCCCCATTCAACCTGGCCTTGAACACCTCTAGGGATAGAACATCCATAGCTTTTCTGGGCAACCTGTTTTGGTGCCCCACCACTCTCACAGTAAATAATTTCTTCATAATATCTATTCTAAATCTTCCTATTTCTATTAAATCTCTACTTTTGTGAGATAGTGAAGTTGAGCTGCATATATGTGTAATTAAGTGTCTCTGTATGCAGTGTGGGCTCAGCAAGTGTCATCCTGAAGCAGAAGAGGGACTGGAAAGGGGGTGCCCTGCAGGGGCAGGGATGGCAGCTGTGGATTCTGCACCTTGAACTGGTGCTGTGGGAAAAAGGAGATTCAATCTGAAGTCCTTGAGTTTGGGAGAGGTAGTTCAAAGGCAGTTATTTTTAAGAGCAAGTAGGCTTTGTTTTCCAGCCTAGTCAGAACGTGCTGTTTGTTAAAATAAATTACTGTCATTACTGGCAGCTTCCCCTTAGCAAGACTGAATTTTAGGAATGAGAAAGCCTTTAATTTGTTTACAGCTTTGCAATTGCAACTATGCTTTAATAATACAGTATCTTGGAACAGATCTGAATAAACATTATTCCCACATTAGAGTGGTTGTTAAGAAAAGTGTGTGTGTGGGAATACAGAGTCAAGCTATGCACCAGTTGTTTTGAGGGAGGAGGTTAATTCTGTTTGGTTTTTGTTCTTTTAACCTTTCAAACCTTCTAATTGGCAAAAGTTTGCAATAGATGTCTGGTCCAAATGAGCATGAAATGCACCCCAGAAAGATTTTTATTAGGCAATGTGAAAAATTTGGAAAATTCCTGGAAAGCTGACGATTCAGAGCTGTGTGAAAGAAAACTGATATTTTGCATACTTTGTGGAAGGTGGGGAAATGTGCTCATCAGAACAGTCTGGCGAGTGAGTGAATGTCATGGATGAGCCTTCGTTATGGGTGGTCCCTCACAGAACTTGTGTGTTCTGTGGAAGTAGAAGAGTTATCATCCTGACCACAAAAGCCTTTGCCAGTAGACAGCTTGGTAAAATGAGGTACGAGAAAATGAAAGCCTTTCTTTACACTTCTGAGGATGCCAGATTTAACCTGTTAAAATACAGGATATAAAAGCTCTAAGTGCCACTCCACCTCTTCTAGATTGTGAGAAAATACCACTGACACTGATGCTAAAACTGACTTTCAGAGCAGTGTCCTTTCAGTTTTGAATCACACTTGTACCACCCACGTCTTGAAGAGTGTGTTGTAGGGCAACTGCAAATTTTTTTCAGTCATTTGAAAGGTGTAAGAAAACCTGGGTTTATTGGCTGCTTTGGATCCCTCTGATGTGTCTTGAACCAAGTAAAGAAGTTATGGATCAGACTCATGCAGGGCAAAACCTCCTATATGTCCCCTTTGGCACAGCTGGGTTGTAATCTAGGACAGGCAGTATTATCACCCGGGGAACAAGGCCTGCCGTGGGAGTGGTGGGGACTGGCGCGGGAGAAACTAAACCAGGGCTGCATGGCCTGAATTCAGATGTTTTGCAGGCTCTTTTTAGAAGAGGTACTCATCATTCTGGGCAGTGCACAAACCACAGCCTCGAGTGACTTGTTCTGGATCCCAAGTAATTACCCTTCTCCTATAAAAAACTAAAACATACTCCTGTGGGTATTTTTAGACTTTTTTTTTTCTTTCTCCTTGCATGTGAGAAAGAGGACTATCACATGCCATCTAGTCATGGGGAAGTGGGATCTTGTGCACTGAGTCACTGGTGCAGTTGACAGTCGTGGTGGGAAGTGACAGCAGGTGATTTTGCTGGCAGGTGGGTAGCGCCTAGGAAATACAGCCCTGCCTGGTGCTAGCTCATCTCTTGGAGCAGCTGTGTATCATCCCAGACTCTTGTGCCAGAGAAGGGCCACATGGCATGTGGTGCAACTCTTTGGATGTGGAGGAACTGGTGTGCAGAACTCAGTTCTCTGAATCTGATGCTTAATGTGGCAGGCTTGACAGGTTAACATGTTAAAATTTCAGTCTTTAAGTCGAAGAGGTAGTAGTACGTATGATGACAAGTCTGACATCTGCAAAGAAAATATGAGGTTATATCAGAGGTCTGTATTCTGATGTAATTCCTAAGTATAATGATTAGGCTACTTACTCCTAGCTCCGCTGCTGACACAGGAGATTATTTCGAGCAAGTCACTTCCTGTAGCAGGTACAATGTCTATTGCTGGTTTTTCCTGTTGCTTCAGGATTAATGTGGCAATCCTCATTAATGGACAATGACATGTGCTTCTTCGGTCTCCATGCTGAGCCCTTGTATCAATTCTTGGACAGTGTGGTATTCCTTGGCACGCCTGTTGTTTGGTGGAAGACTAGCTTAAATGTCAGTATTTTCTTTTAATGTATTTGTGGTATAATAAGCAAAATTGGGTTGGGAGTAAAGTGCATAAGCTAGATGTTTCTGCTAAAGCAGTTGGTGAAGAAAGGATGAGGAATGTTCTTAGGATTTATAATCCACATATATGAATGGCGCAGTTCACAGCTTGTAGAATTTTGGTTTCATGCTGGTACTCACAAAATCATAGAGTGATTTGAAATCATTTCTTTGTGGCTGAACAGGCAGCAAATATATTGTAAAGGGAAAGTTTCTATTTGAGCATAATGTTGTTGAAGTGGATTCTGTAGCAAAGCAATTAATGAACAGAAGAGAGACAGACTTAATTAGCTTAATTCTGCTTGCCCAGGTTTCAAACCAGATGGTGTTTGAAGCTATGACAGCAGTGGCATTTTGTTTTACAGGAGCGAGCTGTGAAGCTTAGGATAGGGATATGTAAATAAAAGATGAGGAGGAAAGTTTGGAAGACTCTGGTAAGGGGCCACAAATAGTAAAAATGTTTTGGAGCAAAGTTACAGAGTAATAAAAGTTCATTCTAATTATCTAATAGTGAGGCAGCTTTAAGGTTGAGATACACTGGTAGGTGGCTATTGTGATTATTGTATCACAGAATGAAAGAATGGTTCAGGTTGGAAGGGACCTTAATAAAAGGTTAAAAAACCTGCCCCGACTTCTCCCTTGCCTTGGGCAGGGAGTCTTCCACTTGACCAGGTTGCTCAGAGCCCTATCCAGCCTGGCCCTGAACACTTCCAGGAATGAAGCATCCATAGCTTCTCAGGGCAAGCTGTAGCAGTTCCTCACCACCCTCACAGTGAAGAATTTCTTTCAAATATCCAATCTAAACCTGTCCTCTTTCAGTTTGAAGGCATTTCTCCTTGTTCTATCATGACATACTCAAAAGTACACCTCTTCAGATTTCTTGTGGTCCCTCTTCAGGTACTGAAAGGCTGCAATTGGATCTCCCTGGAGCTTTCTCTAAGTTGAAATCTTAGCCAACTCTCCCACCCTTTTTTCACAGGAGAGAGGTTTCCATCCCTCTGATCATCTTGGTGGCCCTCCTCCAGATTCACTGGATTGATACATGTGCAAAGGCTGTTTCATTTCAGCTGTAAAATTGTTCGCAGCCTTGTCCTAAAGAAGAGCAAGGGTTTGTCTATAAAGATGATCTGGGATGTTTAAAATCTGTTCTAGAAGTGAAAAAGTTACATGGCAAAAGAAATTATGGTACTGTAACTGCTTTTAAAGTAGGAGTTAATTTTTCAGCACTGGGATGGTATACTTGTAATGTTGATATGCAGCTAAAAGACTTTAGTGCAGAAAAAATGTTTACTGGAAGTATCTTATGTATGGGACATATAAGAATTGTTCCTTTTCATAATTATTTTACTACAGTAACTTAAGCTTGTGTCTTGTGCTCTATCAAGATATAAAAATGGTGCACAGACCAAAACTTGACTGTTTATGCAGGACTCTTCTGAATCATCCTGCCCCAAGACTGATTTGGCCATGAGTCCTGATAGTTACACTTCACATGTCTGAGTCATGTGGCATATAATTTCCAGATAAATTATGTGGCTATTGCAGAGCCTAGGTCTGATCTTGATACTACTGTGAGCCCAGCCGTGCACGATCTGGAGACGTGTGGAGCAGTGGTAAATGGCACAGGGACACTGCCATGGTGCCCTCTTGCACCTGGGAAAGGTTTTTCCTGGTGTTTGAGCTTTGCCAGCACAACTTCCATGCAAGGAGTGTTTGGTGACGTAGAACAGATTGGATTGCGTACTCTGTCAGGGCACTCCTAGTCTAGACATCTCTATCTTCATTTAAATACTGAAGGTGTAAGTCACCTGGAACAAGATGAGTAATAATCTTGAAAGTCAGTCACAAAGCCATCATGGCCCACTTTTCCAGTGCTGGAAGTACTCATCACTATGGTGTAGTCTGATTGGCATATCAAGACTGTAAGAAGCTGTATGTTTAGGTTTTTGTTATTATGACTCTTTACCACAGCAGGAAAAAGAAGTCTGCAAGGCTTGTGGCTTGGAATGGAAAAGAGAGAAGCATATTCTGAAACCACTAGATAATCAGATTTTAAAAAATCTTTTTAATTGTTCCAGCCCTAAAGCTAGTTTGGGGCACTGTGGGACCAATTAGGTTATTTAAACCACAGTTTCTGATCTCTATCAATTGTTTTTACAGCTTGAACAGCCCAAGCCTTTAGGAAGGTCATTTTGATTAGGTATCTGTGGCTCCATCACCGCCCACAGGTATGGTTACATCATTAAGGGGGTACTTCAGTAATGACACAGTTTCTGCTTAAACTGAAGTTTAAATCTTTAACTAGGAAAGGAAAAAATGGTTCTCGCTTCCCCTAACTGCCTTTCTCCACCCCCACGATAGAATAAAATAGACCTGGAAGACCTATTGAATTTTGCCTCCATGCACAACAAAGTATTTTCCTACACCAAACTTGTGCTCGTTTCATTGTATTTATGGCATGGGCTTTAGGGTGTGAGGGGGCTTTGTCCTGTGAATTGAAATTAGTGTAGAGATGTTTTAGCTCATGAAGGTTGCTTAGTTTATAGAAATAATGTGTTTGTAGATCGGCTGATAACAGTTTGAGGAAAATGAGACAGGTGATCTGAAAGGTCTGCAAATGCAAAAGCTTGTTTACTTTTTTCAGTTTTATCAGCTGACCTTATAAAAGGAACATCTCTTTACAAGCCTTCATTCTGTTTTATCCTTAGACCAACTTAGATTTGGCACCATTGTTTCTTGACTGGTGATTCTTGCAGGTTATGATTGTAATTATATTGGTGAGAAATATGGCTTAAGATATGGAATTTTCAGTGGGGTGAAATTTCTGTGTTTTTTTCCTTGATCTGAGGTGTTTAAACAGCAGGTATTTTAAGAAGTCTGGGTAAGTATGTTTCAATACACTTTGCTTGGTGCAAAAAGCTACAGGACTTACTGAGGCATCTCCAACAAGCACCTCCTTCTTTCATTTAAAGCATTTAATTCTGTGACTGCACAGGGTGCTGATGAAATCACTGTCTTAGTTGCACTTTAAAACCCTAACAGGTAATTTTTTTGGTTTGGTTTTGGTTTATAAACAAAGCACTGTAGAAAAATGTTTCACTCTTCACCATAAATATGTTGTAGACATATATATATGAATAAATGACATGCATGTGTAGAGAGGTAATATAAATATAAGTGGTACTCAAAGTAGTAGAAATTGGACAAATACTTCATGTGTATTTTTAAATCTATAGTTCTGTATTTTCCAAACATTGGATAATATGTTGTGAAATTGTTCTGCCAGTTTGCCCTTTGTCCTGCACCAGGTGTGTGGCCCATGGGGAAGAGGGATTAGGCAGCTATCTGCTTTCCTGTCCAAGAGCTCTATTTTCTTTAAAGGTGCTGCTTTCCCTTTTGTAAAAGGGGAATGGGCCAATGCTTCTGCTTTTCCACTGCCAGCATACACAGTTTGAGAACAAATTACAGCCCTCTGGAAAGCAACCTCTTACCATTCTAGATTAGGAACAGGTTGCTTCCCTCTGAAACAATAGGGGTAGCAAAGCAGAAATCCTCTCTTGTTTGTCCTCCACTTCACACAATGTTTTCTTGAAACAGTCCATTCATGAGGGTTAGAGTACCTTCTCAAACAGATTTGTGGTTGTATTGTTTTAAGTAATGGTAATGCTTTCCATAAAGCTGGCAAATACTGCAGCATTTTAGATTTTCATTTTTAGGTGCTCTTGTTCAGTAGCTAATGAATGAAACTCTTGCAAGTCATCTGTGGAGAGTGGCTCCACTTCACTGCCCTGTTTTCCAGATAGCCAGATGACGGAGAGAAAAGAAGAAATGGTGGGAACAGAAAAGCACTGTGAGCAACTTCCTAAACAGGAAAGATCAGATGTACAAAGCCAAGATCGTGCTAGTACTAGTCCGGTGCTACCAGAGTCTGCCAAATTTGCAGCACTGTAAGGCCAGTTTACTTTACAATTTTGTACTTCAAAGATATGATGTAAGCTGTTTTGTTTCACTGAGTAGAAATGACATAAACTTTTAATTAACCTCTCTTTCTTTTTGTTTTATTGAGAACAAGAAAAATGTTCCTCATAGTAGTTTTGAAACATTTTTGTGTCAAGTTACCAGGGCAGCAGGCAAAGGCAGATAATCTACCGGGTAACTTCTCAGCAAGACAGTTCTGTCTTGCAAGTAATAAGTGGACCTGAGGCGTCTGTGCAAGATGAGCTCTCCGTGGATGCAATGCATGTGTTCATAGATGAAAATGGTGAGTTTATCTAGTTGGGATAATTGCAATGCATGAGGAAATTTCTAAATACTTCAGATGTCCTGGAAGGATATTCCTCTTGTCTGTTACTGGTTGCATGTTTTTCTGTGTGTGTGGAAAAAAAAGGGCTTAGTAATTTAAAGTCAGATGAGCAACAGAGGTCTCCATATCCACCAATGACCATCACAGACTTGAGCCTTACACAGTGCCTGAAGTTTATCTTCCAAACATCATCCAAAAGATGCTGGCTAGGCCAGAAGACAACTTCTGTCCCTTCAGAAGAACCCCTGGCATTTTCTGCCTGACTAGAAGTCTTGCACTGACCCGACTAGGCAAAATATGACTCCTTTTTACAGTTTTGTTCTTCAGCTGGTTATTACTGGCCTCTTGATATAGTGGTGCTTGCTGTCATTTGGAGTTGTGATTGCTACTGCTTTAAAAAAAATTAATGAGTGACCTAAGTCTTGTCCCATGCATATACTTGGGATGCTACTGCTCTGAAGCTATTCTCAGAGTCTGCAGCTGTAGGATGGGTTTGAGCCCTGTGTAGTGCCCTGTGAGGTGCTGGCTCATACCTCTGAAAGACAGGTATGAAAGACAGCTGTCCCAAAAGCCCTATTTTCCTTTAAAGTTGCCTTCAAAACCAGCGTGGAGTGAATGCTCATGGTACTGGGTCTGTGACCCTGGAGGTACTTTGGTTTTCTGCCTGTTCCTCCTGGCTCTCCTGGCAGCCTGCAGCGCTGCTGTGCTGGGGACAGAAGGGCAGCAGCTGCCAGTGGGGCAGGTGACGCAGCCTCTGGGTCAGCCAGCATCCACCCTTGGCTTTGTGCTGCCTCTGCAAACAGGGAGGAGCTGTGGCTGCACTTCTAGCAGAACTTTTTGCGGGTTTGTACCTCCTGACCTCACCTTTGTGAATGGAAAGAGGAAAATCTGATTTCACATTTTAAGGTGAATTTAGATTAATTGATGTATTTTGTGCTTAATTTACATGCCTTTTAAATTTTTGCTGTGACTTCTGTGTTTTGATTTGTCTCAGGTTTTCAGTTATTCAAATGTTAATTTGCTTTCTAAAATCTGAAATGAGCACCAACTGAAAATATATATTTATAAATATGCCTGACCTAAAGTGCGTATTTTATAAATTTCTTGTGTACACAAATGGTCGCATCACTGAACTGACATTTTTTCTCTCTGTATTTTTTAAAGGGGAAATTAGATCCTGCTATTTAAAAGCTGGCTGTCAGAAGGAAGGAAATTTTAGACATCAGCTATCAAATTGTGATTGTATGTCAAATGCTCAGTAAGTAAGCCCTTATTTTTAGAAACGTTGGAAGTTTTCATTTGCTGGAAACTATGAAACTGTAGCTGTGAAAGATGCATGTGAAGGGGAGTAGTGGTGAATAAATGTGCTAACCTTTTCTAGAGAAGTCAAAGCATGAAAAATTTTTTGTTTTCTGCTAAAACAGTGACAGCTTTATAAGAACATAGGAAAGAAAAAGTGAAAATGAAAATCAGAACCATCCACTTGGCTTTAATTACTTTCTGTAATTAGCCACAGTCAAGTGTAGCTATTATAAATAAAATTGTAAACAAAGTAAGTGGCACTGTTCTATCAACTTTGTCTGGTTTGCTTCCCATACCTGTTGCATTCTTTGAAAATTTTTAGTGCTGTGTCAGTATCAGTCACTGACTGATGTTAGCAGCAGAGCCTTTCATTCTGCATTAACTCTAATGATAATTTGCTGCTCTGATGAGGTATCCAAACAATTTTCTTTTTTCAAAAAATTCTTCTTGGAGTGGTCCATAAAAATCCTGTCTATATTACTGTGGTTTCCACACTCTTCCATGTGATTTGTTGTTTGCATATCTGTAGAAAGAGTTTTAGCTATTCATAGGTATTTTAATGAAATAATTTTAGCTTTCATACTGTTTTACAGCATTTGGAGAAGTTGAGTGAGGGAGTGAGAATGGTCCTTTTTTAATAGCAAATATTGTTCTTCAAGGGTTTGGCTTTCAGTGGAGACTTTTGAAAAACTTGGGACCACGTTTAAAACAGCGTTAGCATTTTAGATAGAATGCTAGTATGAGTGATATGAGAATAATGCTTTTATTTGTCAGTATCAAAGAGTCAAAAAATAAGAAAAAAAAAAGAGTAGTAGAAATGTTCTGTCTGTCTTCAGCTACACAAACCTCCTCTGTCTTGGTAGAGTTCAGTTTTGACCTAAAAAAATCAAACATTTTGCTTTGGTTCTATTTATTTCTTGCAACTCTCTTTGTTTCACCTTGCACAGAACACTCTTCTGCACCCCCTTCCTATAACTATGAGCTTGTATCTGTCCTAAATTCCAAAATAGTTTTCTGTCCCCTGACTTTTAGCAGTTAATTTGTTTTTAATCAAAGGAAGGACTATCTTCCTTCTCTTGTAAGAAGTCATGCTGAATCTGCCTTTGCTAGATGCATATGTGACACCTCTGTTTTCCTAAAGTGCTATTTTTCAGTTGTGGTTTGCAGACCTTAAGTGATGAGGTTTATTTTTAAGGGGTCTGCTCAACCCTGTTAACAAAAGCAAGTTCAGATATTCTTTACAGGCATTTACATGCATGTAATTTCTTAAGATGAGCACCTTTGCTGGAAGTCTCAGTGATAGACCAGGGAGTGGAACAGATCAGCAAAGAGGATTGAGGTTCCCAGGACTGTTTCTTTGTGGGAGTCCATGGGAAGCCAGAACATGAGCTTTTCCAAGAAGAGAGCAGCATGAAGGAAAGTGCAAAGCAGAACTTAATATGAAAAATAAGGAAAGGGGACAAGGAAGCTTGAAGTATGCTTGAGCTGGTTTTTGCACGGGCTGTTTGAAATGTCTAGGCCAGAGAGATTAGTGAGAGGTGTTTGTTCAGTGGACAGTTTCTACCATCTGTGAGTAGATTGAAGGGTAGCACAGAAAGGAAGGGGTTTTTGTTTTTTCTTCAGGTGTTTACCGTCAAGTAGTTTTGTATTTAGACGATATGGAGCACCTACAGCATACAGAAAATGGAGGAGCAAACCTGCTTTAAGGACAGTACAGGAATGATGCATCTTTCCCTCTCCTCAGTCGCCACCTGCAGCCTTGCTCATCAGTTGTGTCAGGTTACTTTATTGCTATAGATAAACCAAATGATCAGTGATCAGTGAAGGAAAGGTTATTAGTGAAGGAAAAGGCAAATAGGATAAATACAGCACAGGATGTAATCAGTGGGTGCTTCACTTAATCTCTTCTGTGTGTCTGTCTGTAGAGAGTCCTTGACAAAAATTATTCCCTTGAGGGTGAGCCCTGTCTGGTGGAGATGTTCATCATAAGAGTAGTCCATAGCAACAGGAAATGCTGCTGTTATGGAAGGATATTAGAAAAGAGACACGGAAAGCACCTCTGAGATGAACATGACTTAACTACCAGCCAATGAAAAGTTAACTAAGGAGAAGACAATGATTTTGACAGTATGCCTTCATGAGCAATTGAAATGGTGCAGAAACAACCAATAGCTTTAGGCCTGCTGTCTGAATTCATTAATGAGCCATCCAAATTAGATTTCATAAGTCAAGAGATGCAGGAGAAAATTAATGCCTAGCCAAAAGAGGTGTCATCCTCCTTTCATAGGAGGGGGTAGATTTTTGGTCTCGTGGAGCCCAGATTTCAGAATTCAGAATAAGCATAGAGAACAATACAAAGATTTGCAGTAGATGTGTATGAGCTCTTAAAACACTTATCACCAGTTGTGCTTGCTTTATACTTTAAGATTAAGCTGCTCCTAAGGGGAAAATGTCAAACTGAGTTGAGCAAGTGGAATAACTGTGTGGATTTGAATGGGCTGTGCCCTGATGTGCTTCTTTATGAGGATAATTGACCCAGGACAGAGGATGACAAGAGGCCTCTTGCTTTGTGGGTGTTGTTGGGAGAGGCAGCAGACCTGTTGCTGGTGTCTAGGAGCTGTGATGCTTCTGGGTAATGTTGCAGTTGTGAAAGAAGAAGGAATTTTGACTGGGGAGGGTATGAACTGTGGCTAGCTTGTCACGAGTAAGGTAATTGCCTTATGAATTTTCCATAGGTAACTATCTTTTAACACTGTTATGCAGAAATGAAGAAGATGTTTAAGTATTACTCAAAAAAGTTCCTAAAGAAAGCCTTGAGGCAGACTAACTAATGTTTTATGATCATCAATTCAAGTTATAACTTTATATTTCTGTCTGTTGAGTCCTGTATTGTCTTCTCTGTTTGTAGGCTTAGGCATTTCACATCAGATTATTAGGAACTGAAATTAAAGTAGGATTCCTATGGCCCATAAACATTTTATCTTCTCGGTGTAACATTTGAAATTAATTTCTCACAAATAATTCAAAGTCTTAACAATGTCTCTGTCACAGAAGTGAGGATATGTTATGTTTTTGTTTTGCTTCTTTGTTTTTGTGTGCTTCCTGCCTTTCATTGGCTTAGGAAGGGCTGGATGGACAACAATGGATTGTAATGTGCCAGAGAAAGCAGATGTCCATATCTGAAGGAGTCTTTGATTTCTTCCTTCAGAGACTCCTTGACATTGCAGGCAATACTGTTAAAGGGAGTTAGATTTTGTCTTGTCAAATATCAGTGGTCAATCACCTCTTTTTGGCTCTGCAGTGATGTGAGATGATCTTTGGAGTATTCTCCAGTTTATCAATATATATTCCATCAGTTTCTACTTTTTGTCTTTGTTTTTTTTTTTTTAGTTTTATTGTTGGCTTTTTCAACTATAGTACCTGCAGTCCTTGTCCTGGGAAATTTTTAGAGCCTCTTAAATGTAGTATAAACACTGTCTTATTAATAATTTCCAAAATTATCCCTTGATTCTATTAAAGGTTACTGAGAATTAGAATTTTTTTCAGATTGTCTCTGTACTTGGTTCTTGCCAAATTGTCTCTCACTTGTCTAGCAGTCCAGCTTTTAAAATATTTGAAGACCTAGCCAACTTAAATCCTGAGGAGGTTTTTATGTTGTAATTATCACCAAAAGTAGATAATTCCTTTTCCATCATAATCCCCACTTTGGTGGGTGATTCTTGTCACTGAGTTTGGTAAATTATTTAAACATTGGCAGAACTGATCAAGTCCCCAGTTATTGTCAGTGTAATTACCCTGACCCCACTTTTGTCTGTTGGCTTGCCAGCAACACCTCTTGCCAGCAGTCCCAGTGGAATGGGTTCCCTGCTGAGCTAATTGCATCTAAATTTGATGCTCTCATTACTCTGCCAAGTTCACCTCTAGCCATAAATTGCTCTGTGACAGGCTTTGACAAAAGTATAAACTCTATTCCCAGCTCATGGATTATGTTAGAAATTAGTACAAAAAGACCATTTGAATCTGTTCTGAAGTGGGTCACTGAGACATGTGATTGGAGCCTGGCTTTCCTGGAGGTGGCTGAACAGAACACCTGCTTGCCCTGAATCTTGGTGACTTGGGGAGACAAACTCCATCACTCCTTTCCTCTTTATTCACTTAGATTTATATGCTGAGTGCCATATTGTAGGGACTGTCCCTCTGCTCAGTTGGGATCAGCTGTCCTGGTTTTGCCTCCTCTCAGCTGCTTCTGCACCCCTAGCCTCCTCACTGATGGGGTGCTCTGAGGAGCAGAAAAAGCCCTTGGGTCTCTGTGTAAAGGCTGCTCAGAAACAGCTAAAACATACCTGTGTTATCAATACCATTTCCAACACAAATCCAAAACATAACTCCATGCCAGCTACTATTAAGAAAATTAACTCTACCCCAATCAAAACCAGTACAAACAGAAAGGATTACCCAGATCTTAGCAAAAGTACCTTTATCTTAGGTGCAGATCTTGCAATGTGAAGCTTGAACTTTCATTTGAGATCAATTATATATAAAATCCAACTTGCTCTATACCTTTAAAAAAAGAATTATTCCAGTTTGAGCCTTATCATGCTTTCTTGGTTGTGTATCTTTTAAAGTACTGGTAAAGTTTTTAATATCACTTTTTGTAGGATAAAATTATATTAATGTATGTTTAATTACTACATGTGGTTCAACCATACCAGTACAATCATACATTCATATTGCACTTTGCATGTTCTGTCTGAGCACTTGATACTCTGAACTCCTCACTTTTTTCAGATGAGGCTCTGACTCTGAAACCAGGCTTCTAAAAAGCTGTATTACAGCTAAAATGTTTTGCAGTACAGATAGAGACCTCCATTTAAAACAGTTGCTTAGATTTTTTTGTTGTTGTTGTTTGTTTTGAGAATAATTTTATTTTTGGTATCATCTGGGCCAAAGGTTTTA